AAATTCCAAACTAGCGCCTTCCTAAAACCACTGATGTTTTTCTATATCGGAGTTACATCGCTTTATAATAAGTGAAAGACATTTATAGCTGTAGCGCAAATAAGTTCTAGGGGCAGTTGAATCGTCCAACTCGCGTCAAACTCCTGCGATTAAAAAAACTAAAAAAACACGAAGACTGTAGTTCCTCGGATGGTAAAATAACGGCACGCAATGCAAGCTTCACATGGTTGCTGCAGCATATGAAGCCCTTGACTGATTGCTGATGCATTATTCCGTCAGCTTATAATGTTGTCGCCACTCATTAAGGCAAAAATGAGTTGATGAGTGAGAATGCAACAACAGGGCTCTAACCATGGACCTTGGCTCCATCCATTGCTTGTTTCCTTCTCCAGTCTCAACTTTACAACATCGTGCGGCTTTGCCTGAAACATACATGCTGCTTTTTTTCCACTGACTCTTTCAACTCCATTTCAAGGTGTGCGTCTAGAAGGTGGCTAAAGCATGCCCAATCATAGCCTCCCACGCAAGCGTTTTGTGGGGAGGGATGAAAAACGAGCTCCCCTAAAAACGCCTGCGTGGGAGGCTAGCCCAATCAAGGCAGTTTTGGCACTGACATATCATGATGTCATAGATGATGTGTTATTCTTACCTCCCTGATTAAAAAGACAACCTGGTTAACTAATGATCTCTCATGAGATCCTTTTTTATTTCTTTTTCAATTTTCCTACCTCGATGCGAGCCTGTCGAAGCCTGGTGGTATGAGTAATGAGTAGCAATCAATCTGACAACCTGTCTAATAGCATAATCGTACGTGTGCAATGTAGCATTAGGGTGATACGTGTGACCTTCTGTAGATCGATATATAGTCAGAGAGGCACAGTATGAGCCTATTCATCCCATAAATGTGGTATTTACTGCGCTTCACTGTACCTACTTTTGCATCTTCAGGCAACTGCAATCAAAATTCATGCTAATTATCGTGGAATTTGTAACATGTTTGGATTTCTAGATGTGCCGAGGCGCCTCGTTTTACTTATTGAATTCCCTTTTTACATGTTTTTATTCAGTAAACTAAGTTTAGTTATCATTTTTAACAGCTCGTCTTCCTGTGCGGATTGATTGTGCGGAAATCAATGGACTTTGTCCTCAGGGAGGAGCTACAGGGGGGATAGTAACTCAACAGGAAGCACAGACAGTGCAAAAAGAGGAGTCTTCAAAGGCACAAGCACCTAATGGACCCCGAGGAGTGGTCGAAGGAACAGCAGCTGCAGGTTTAGATCAAGAAAGTGTCAGGAGGGGAGCTGTTCCTACTTCACAGGAAGTTTTAAATTCAATTGCGACAAAGTACTTACAGGAAGTCAACCCTTCGACACCTGAGGAGTTTAATAAATTTATGCAGTACATGAAGGAGGTGCGTAAAGTTATTGTTGTGGATGTTCAAAATGGAAGTTTAATACTCATACTGGAATGTAGCTCTCTTCAGATCCTTGACGAACTCTGGGAAGACTATTGCACAGGTCACCTAAATGAAGTGGCACAAAAATTCCTTGTAACAGACGAAATTCTCAAGGAATTTGGCCTAGCTGAAGTAAAACTCACAACAACTATTAACGAAGAGGAATACAAAGCTTGTCGTGAGCTTTTATTGAATTCTTCAAGTAAGTATTAACTACTTAATCACAAATCCTAAATACACGTACTGGTGTTTAGGAAAACACGGCCTGGATTTCGACATACCAATCTGGTAAGTACCCCGGGTGTGACGTAGTGTGACCCTCGCTTTGAAAAATTCTAGGTACGCCCCTGAGTTAACATACGCGAAACTACGGCTCGCCACGATGCCCTACGTACTCGGGAAACGTGTACGGTGAGAAAATAAGTTTAATTAGCAAATCACCAAATTTGCACGTGCATCTTACTTTTTTTCCCCATTTTTTTGCCATACTGCACGACCTCGACGTGAAAATTCCTAATTTTATGTCTTATGGGGGACGTGTCGTAAACAAACAATGATGACCTCTTTTCCAAAGGGCGTAAGAAGTTAGGGCGTTGAAACGAGCGGGGTTGAGCGATCTAGCTGTGATGCAAGCGTCTGGGTACTACCAAAGAGACAAAACAACATGGCGGACATTATATTGGACTGTCAGAGAGATTATCCAGCAAAATTTAGCCATTATCCCGTGGCATTCATTTGCTGCAAGCAATAGCGAACGAACAAATTATTTTTTCTCACGTTCGTTTTCTGTCTTGTTCAATTTTTCCCCCGCGAACAAATATCTGTATTGAATATAGTTCCACCTCCGTGACCTGCATTAAAATTTCGTGACTTGGTAAGAAAATGACATCACAACTCAGATGATAGCACTGACATCATTTTTAGACTAATATTATCAGTTCTCTACTTCAGTTTAATATCAAGTTGTGTAAGTTATCATCTGCTATGGCATTTATTTTTTGCTGTCCAGTTTCAAGGCCAGATGATCTGTTTTCACTATTAAAGTTTGGATTTGTTGGTGTACATCAGTATTGTTCTCTAAACACCTTATTGAGCTATCTGCAATATTGAGCATTACAGTTGGACAGATTGTGAAAACTAAAGTCCGGGTAAATTTAAAATTTAATAGAATCATCATGTTTTATCTTGTACACTAATACTACTGTGCAATGAAGAATAAGGATGAGAAAAAAAATATAATTCACTGCCCTTGAAAAACTAACAAAGAGGTCGCAAGAACACAAATAAGTAGCCCAGAAAATATTTTTGTTTGATAATAACAGCTTTCTGTAATGAAATGGTCACTGAAAACTACCCATGCAAGACAAACTAAGGACCTTTAAAGAAACTAAACATTCACTAGTCTTACATTGAAACCAGACATTGCTATATATATATATCTTACATTACAAATTCAAAAGTATATTGCAAACACGAAAATTATACAGAATTGTGCACAAATGAAATACAAATGGCCTGTAACAGCTATTAAACCATTGAAAAACAAACTTTTTAGTGTGGCCAGCAACCCTAGCACACTTGTATACTTCATGTCCAGTATGATTCAATTTCATTCTTGGTTAAATTTATTAACTGCAGCAGGCTTAATCAAAGTTGATTCAAAAATACTTTCCTGTTTCCTTGTCTACAATATATAATATTAAGAGAGAGGATATAATGCTAGAAATATTATACAGTAGTACAATAAAAAGATAAGGCACCTCCAGGAAATCGAGTTGGTCCCTACTATTCTTCAGTCATTTCCTTTTACTCTCTATAAGAGTTCAAGACCAGTGTCCATTCAGATATTTTGTGCCAATCCCAATACAAGATATCCAAAGTGGAAAAAAGGGGGTGCAACACCACACTTAAGCCTCTGACGACAAAAATACAATGTTGCACAGTCTTAATTTATTCTACTGGCAATCAAATTAAGACCTCTTCATGTTCTTCTTCATAATCGCGGTATTATGAACTCGTTTATCTTTCAGTGTGTGTCCTAGTAGTATTTTCAGGCCGGGCACTCACTGTTGTCCTGCAAAAGAGCATAATAACAAACACATTCTATGATTTAATTTTACAGTGGAATCTTTGTAGGGATTTGAAAGCAAATTTCTCCACAGGCTTCATTCTGTTTCTGTGCAATACAACCTTTAGATTTATACCACAGTGAAGCAGAATTTGTTGTTGTTTATGTAAAGACAGTGTCACATGCACGAGATCATTCGAATGTAATTTTCTAGTAGAACTTCAAAAATAGTCTGAACCTTCTTGGATCGCGGTTCTATAACTAAAAAATTATTTACCATCTTAGTGTATATTTAAAAAAGAAAAATCGCTAAACTGGGCAACTGAATTTAGTAACAAGCTAGACGCCAACGTACAAAACAAAAACCTTAATTGCTATCGCCATTATGAAGTCATCTCTTCAGAAGTAAAGAAATCTTAAAGGTTCATAAAAGTTCACTCTAAAACTTTGCATGCACAAACAAAATTTATAAAACTATTACATATTTTTTTTGTAGCCGTTTATTATCATTTGGTTTTGACTGGCAAGATAAAACGCGACCTTCAACCTGTAATATTCGATAGGCCACTTTGACACTACATATTAAACATAAAAGGCGAAAAAACACCTTAACTTACGAGACTTAAAATTTTCTGTATATCGTATAGAAATACGCCAAATATCAAATCTAAAGATATAAAGCAATAAATCCGAACCTACCTCCAGCTAGACGGCGCCATTTTTCTTGCCCTGACAGCGGATCGATAGCATCCTCGGAGACCCAGGGGCAGTCAGTCGGGCCGGGTTGAAAGTTCAAGCATGGGCGGAAGAGCCCCTGGGTACCGACTCTCACCGGACCATTTCAAACGGTCAAGAGAATGCTGGTTCCTGATTGGGCACAAAAATGCTTTGTATTATTGTGCCCAATCGGCGAACAGCATCTCCTGAGTTCTTTTCGTGAGTTCGTACACGACGGCTATTATCTCGCCACAGTTGTCCGGTTCGTTCACCAAGCTTTCCTAACGTTTCGGATGCTATCAGCAGGAGCAATTCAATTTGCACTGAGAAAATTCTGTTTCTGACGGATCACAATGTATCGCAAATAATAGGAAGTTTAAGATGAAGCGGCGACGCGAAAGTAAAAAAAGAAATAGCTTGACAAGGCAAAACAACAACTTTGCACGTGCATCACGCTTTTTTGTATATTTCTTTGCCGTCACTGCACGACCACCACGTGAAAATGCCTAATTTCACGTTTTGTGAAGGACGTAAACAAGCAATGACAAAATTTTCTTTCTCTTTATGAACTTGGATATGGTTGATAGAAATTCAGCTCCGGAAGAGTTCGCTTGTATTTGACAAGTAAGTAAGTAATGTATCGGTCAAATCGAAGCTTCAACATGCCCCCCCCGGGCAACCCCCCGGGCATTTGACTTTTTTGAAAATTATTGTTCAAATTCCCCCCTAACCGGGCCAAAATGCCGTTCAAATGCCCCACACAAGGGTCCATTCAGGTGATCAAATGCCCCCACCCCGGGGACATTTCACAGGCACATAATGACAGAAGGACGGCAGAAACCCCTTCAGTTGTCGAACAAAATCTTTATAAATACAGTAAATAATTCGCATTCAATATAACAAAAACTGAGAAACACTGTTAGCGTATTTACTACAAACAAACTTCTCGTGCAAAGCGCCGGAAATTGTTGCTACAAGGTCACTGAATTCTCAGCTTTTCTTCGTGTGTCATGCAACATAGAAAACGTTCTATAAAAAAAATCCCACCTACTATATCATGACCATTTCACTGACATGAATCATCGCTCACCTTATACATGCGGCAGGTCAAAGTAATATTGACCTCTGTTGAGCTTTTTATTGTTGCATTGAATCGCTGGTAATAGGTAAACACAACTTTTATACATTCATGTATTCAAAACCAAGCTTGTTTAAGCCCTTTCCTCGTAACCAATTGGCCACAAAGGCACAATCTTTTCCACGAAAATCCCCCAACACCGCGTCCCCCATGATAGCCCGCCACGCAGGAGATTTCACATGAAAATCGTGGGTGCAGTTCAAATTCCCCACCCCCAACGCATGGAGATCAAATTCCCTACCCCCTGGAAGACTCTGATAATCAAATTCCCTCCTCCCCGGGACGGCAAAGGTGTCAAATGCCCGGGGTTTGCCCGGGGGGGGCATGTTGAAGCTTCGATTTGACCGATACATAAGTAAGTAAGTAAGTAAGTAAGTGAGTTGGAACAATCACGATAGAGACTAAAAAAATGTGAGTTCACTTTTCATGCGACGTTTTCGGGGTTGTCAGCTGTCGCGGCATATTTTAAAAACTCCCTAATATTTACGAAGGCGTGATCGATGCAAGCGTGGCTGGATACCTGTTGTAATGCACCTATCAATGTAAACCCCGTGGGAGTGCGGGCAAGGGGTGGGGATTTGACAAATTTTAAAATTTTTCGATCAAATTCCCCAGGGTGGGAAACGAAAGGTCAATCAAAAGTGTCAAAAAAGCCCCCACCACCCCAGGGGAAAAAATCTAAACAAACAATGCTACAATACTATACAAAACGAAGAAAAGAACATTTCAAACACGTTGTTACTACTTTTATTTACGGTTAACGGAAGCTCCATTAAATTACTCGCTGTAATTGAGTATTTTCTCTCTCCACTAGCATCTCTTATCTTGAACAACAAAATCACTCCAGGAAGATTGACCGTGTTATATAATATTAATAAAACGTAAAATACTTTATAACATCTGCTCAACATGTCGGAACAGGTCGGATCAGTGACCCATAAAAAATCCTCTGACTTTCATGGTGGAATTCGATTTCAATCGAGTTTTACAATCAGATGGGAACTTGAAGATAAAAACTTTGTCAAAATAGACATTATCTGTTTAGATGACAGTTTAAAGTATCGGATTATGGCGATTAAAACAAATGAAAACTTCATACCTTTCTCCAACAACGTGACTTTCAGGAAGCCTCGAGGGACGGACAAACTGTCGGTCAAAGTCAAATGTCCCGACCCCGGGGTCGCTTCGCACGATCAAAAGCCCGACAGCGGGGATAGTCCCAGGCATCAAATCCCCTCCCCTTGCCCGCACTCCCCGCCCCCACGGGATTTACATTGATAGGTGCATAAGCTCAAGCTTGTATTTTTGGAAAAGCGTCTTTAGTTTTCCTGTAGACAGTGGTTGTCTTCACACTAGGCTGTTAAGTAAGACTTAAGAGCTGCTAAGTATCTCATTGAAGTCGGAAAGTTGAAACGATTCAAGAAAGTTTCAAGTGACTTGAAAACCATTCTTAGAACCGACTTAGCGAACTTGCGGTTTCTAAGCTTTGAGAAAGGTGAAGCATGCCAATCAATCTTAATTACGTTGCGTCGGAAAACCTGAAGTTAAAAAGATAAGTTGTATGTGAAGCTTTCTTTTACTTGAACAATTTAAAATTTACTTGTCTTGAAATATTCCTTAGCTTATTTAGGCTCTAGTGTAAAGACTACCAGTATTTTGAAATGTAGCGTTTTTCAAACTGAAAGATTCCTTACTGCGTGCATTTCTTTGGTGCATGAGCCAGACAAGCAGTGATCGAGTCAATAACCATCGTGTACGAACTGGCGAAAAAAACTCAGGAGATGCTATTGGCCGATTGGGCACAATAATACAAAGCACTTTTTGTGCCTAATCAGGAGCCAGCATTCGCTTGACAGTTTGGAAATGGTCCGGTGAGAGTCGGTACCCAGGGGCAGGGGCTTTTCCGCCTGTGCTTGAAAACGTTTGTCGCGCCTTTTCTCCCGGCCCTACTGACAGCCCGTGGGTATCCGAGGATGGATCGATAGCGGAAAGGCCAACTAGTTCCAGTCCTACTCCGCATCAAAGCTGAATCAGAGAGCGCGTATTTGCGTTTTAACGCCCTAGCTTCTTACGCCCTGCTTTTCCCTGTCCTAACTCGGATATGAGTTCGCCTACATTAGACAAAGAACCGACTTGCAATAATCACAAATAATTTAAAAAGAATGCGAATTCACGTTTTATAAAAAGCGGCGATTTGGCGCCTGTCGTAGTCTTAACTTTAGGTATTGACGCGTGGCCGGAAAAAACTTCTTCCGGTCACCGTGCTGTCCTTACTAGACTTATCCGTAGTCCTTCTTAAAAGTCGATATTGACATCACTAAACACTAATATCTAATTACGTTTTTTTAAAATGATATCGCCTGCATTCCTATTCAATGATTCTACTGATTTCCTTTGGTCTTTATTCAGTTAAATAAAATATGTATTTCCTCTTTTTCTGGTGCTGTAGAGAATCAATCTAGTGTTGCTGATAACCTCTATCAACTTGGAACCGAGAAACGTGAACAACAAGATATCATAAAATCAGCCCACGAATTCGACCAGCGTTCGCCGGACATACGTATAAAACTAGTTAGGGAAGAACACCAAAGTACTGCTGACTGGTACTACAAAGTGGGGATAACACAGCATAACCGTGGTGATTTTAAAGCAGCTCTGCAGTCAAAACAGCGTGCACTGGAAATACGTATTAAACTGTTTGGAGAAGAACACAAGAGTACTGCTGACTGTTACTACTCACTGGGGTAACACTCTATGAACTAGGTGATTTGAAAGCAGCTCTTCAATCTCACCAGCGTGCATTTGGCATACGTATTAAATTGTTTGGAGAAGAACACCAAAGTACTGCTGACTGTTACCTCGAACTCGGAAAACACAGCATAAACAAGGTGATTTCAAAGCAGCTGTTCAGTCTTACCAGCGTGCACTGGAAATAAGTATTAAACTGTTTGGAGAAGAACACCAACGTACTGCTAACTGTTACTACTCACTGGGGGTAACACAGTATGAACTAGGTGATTTTAAAGCAGCTCTTCAATCACACCAGCGTGCACTTGGCATACGTATTAAACTGTTTGGAGAAGAACACCAAAGTACTGCTGACTGTTACCATTCACTGGGGTTAACACAGCATAACCTTGGTGATTTTAAAGCAGCTCTGCAGTCAAAACAGCGTGCACTGGAAATACGTATTAAACTGTTTGGAGAAGAACACAAGAGTACTGCTGACTGTTACTACTCACTGGGGTAACACTCTATGAACTAGGTGATTTGAAAGCAGCGCTTCAATCTCACCAGCGTGCACTTGGCATACGTATTAAATTGTTTGGAGAAGAACACCAAAGTACTGCTGACTGTTACCTCGAACTTGGAAAAACACAGCATAAACAAGGTGATTTCAAAGCAGCTGTTCAGTCTTACCAGCGTGCACTGGAAATAAGTATTAAACTGTTTGGAGAAGAACACCAAAGTACTGCTGACTGTTACTACTCACTGGGGGTAACACAGCATAACCTAGGTGATTTGAAAGCAGCTCGTCAATCTCACCAGCGTGCACTTGGCATACGTATTAAATTGTTTGGAGAAAAACACCAAGGTACTGCTGACTGTTACTACTCACTGGGGGTAACACAGTATGAACTAGGTGATTTGAAAGCAGCTCTTCAATCTCACCAGCGTGCACTTGGCATAGGTATTAAATTGTTTGGAGAAGAACACCAAAGTACTGCTGACTGTTACCTCGAACTTGGAAAAACACAGCATAAACAAGGTGATTTCAAAGCAGCTGTTCACTCAAAACAGCGTGCACTGGAAATACGTATTAAACTGTTTGGAGAAGAACACCAAAGTACTGCTGACTGTTACTACTCACTGGGGATAACACAGCATAACCTTGGTGATTTTAAAGCATCTCTGCAGTCAGAACAGCGTGCACTGGAAATACGTATTAAATTGTTTGGAGAAGAACACCAGAGTATTGCTGACTGTTACTACTCACTGGGGGTAACACTCTATGATCAAGGTGATTTGAAAGCAGCTCTTCAATCTCACCGGCGTGCACTTGGCATACGTATTAAACTGTTTGGAGAAGAACACCAAAGTACTGCTTACTGTTACCTCGAACTTGGAAAAACACAGCATGAACAAGGTGATTTCAAAGCAGCTGTTCAGTCAAAACAGCGTGCACTGGAAATAAGTATTAAACTGTTTGGAGAAGAACACCAAAGTACTGCTGACTGTTACTACTCACTGGGGGTAACACAGCATAACCTAGGCGATTTGAAAGCAGCTCGTCAATCTCACCAGCGTGCGCTGGACATACGTATTAGACTGTCTGGAGAAGAACATTAAAGTACTGCTGGCTGTTACTACTCACTGGGGATAACACAGTGTAAACTAGGTGATTTGAAAGCAGCTTTTCAATCCTCTCAGCATGCCCCTGGGCTTACGTATTAAACTGTTTGGAGAAGATCACAAAAGCACTGCTGCCAGTAACCCTTAGGTGGAGAAAAGACAGCGCGCATTGGATAGTTTGAAAGGAGGGCATAAGTAGTTTTAATTCCGTTCACTAGACTTGTTGAAGATGGTATGGTACACTTGAATAAATAGGGTATGTAATATAGTATAAGTTCGCTGTTGTTTTAAGAAGAATTTTAGTTGATTTTGTTGGTTAACTTATTTACCAATTAAGTCTTCACTCTTAACAGATCTAGAGTATTGCAGACTGCTTTAAATAATAACAATTACAACAATGAATACAACAATAACATATTAAAATTACTAATCAATATGTAAGGTTACACACCAATTGCCTAAATGAACATGACGAAGTACAGGCTATAATTTCTGGTTGGAGATTGTTCCACTGTGCAATTGTCTTAAGGTAAAAAGAGTTCTTATAATAATCACATGTATAACATGGCTGTTCAAATCGATGACAGAGAGACGAGACCCTGGTGTCCATTCTGCTCTTATGTTCTCTCTGAAACTTGTCGCATTTGTAGGTGGCTTATCCATTACTCTGTTTGTACAGCATACAGAGACGTGCGTCAGATCGCCTGGGCTCCAGAGATCTCAACTTAAACAGCGATTGATTGTCTTTGCCAAAATAGTCGAATTCCCTTAGGCTTATTTGTACCCTAAGAGTGAATGATCTGAAAGGCTTGCTTTAAGCTGGCCTCGGATGGCTTCTGCACGAGGCTGGATCTGAATTTTCTTTCACGAAGCATTTGGCGTTCAAACAGACCCACGCATATTCCGTAGTGTTTATGTATATAAGAGGTCTAATGTTCCACGCACTGTAAATTAAAAAGATTATGTTAACCGACTTCAAATTTGGTGCGTTTGTTTAGGCAAAAAGCCGAATACAGTACACCATTACAGTCTAATTCGGTCCCTGCAGAATCCGTCGGGCGGGCATGTTACGAGCGAGTACAAATTGTGCGTAAATGACTTCACGAGAGATTGAACCAGATTTGGTTCTGCCCGACCAAATTTGCATGCATTTTGGGACAGAAGCGGATCTTTTGAATTTACAGTGCTGAGTTAGAGACATGCGTTCAATTTTTCCCGGCACCGATACAAGCTTCAATAAGGAACTTGAGCAACGATAATATCTTTTAAATATTAAGTCTGTAAAATAACTTGTTTAAGATAGTTAATAGTTTTTAAATAGTTAAAACTTCTAAGACTAGAAAGTTTTTAAATACGAAGAAGGTTTTAGACTTGGCTACCCATGCTTGGCTGGCACTTGTTCCACATGACGGAGCCAACCTGATATTAACTATGGTTCGTGGTGCATGTAGAACCCAATATAACTATATGTTCATCGTGGGAAGTAGTCGTTGTGGCATAAAATGTCACAAACATGCAGACATTTCACTTGTCTGCTGTTATGAATGTTATAGGAATATGGAGGTCAGCCTCGCGCTTTGATATATAGGGCCGGGCGTCAGTTGTCAGTCAGTGACTGCGCCCTATTATTGCCCGTACCACACATCTCTCCCTTATTTTGTTACATTTTTTCCTGTTTGTTTGTTTCTGTTGTTTTGTGCGATATTTTTTATATATATATTACATTACACATACTGATAAACCCCTCATATACGACCGCACTAGTTTTGCAGTAGGAATGAGGTACCCACGCGACGGCAGCGGCAGCTAAAATGTCCTTGAAAATAAATTCGCGCCATTTTATCTCATCGCTATAATTCCACCTCGTTCGATTTGTCAAAAGCGTTCGCAGGCGAATTTTGAGGGGTTCATTCGTACGAAACCGTATGCAAATTCAACGAATTTAAAGATAATTGCCTTTTTGTGTTTACATCCTCCTTAAAACATAAAATAAGGAATTAATTTCGGGTTTCTTCAGTCTGTAGGTAACTGGGTATGTCTACCCTACATATCGAAAGGCTTTTCAAGTCGACGTGAAAAGCTATCTGTGCCAAACCCTAAATACCGATATTTGACGATCCACTAAGATCGGCGCAGCGCAACTTCGCACCGTTACAGAAACTGCGACGAAATCAGCGTTTCAATGTGTGAACAGAAGCCTAATCCTAAATGGTATGTGCAGCGGCGTTATAGCTATATGGTATACGACATCGCCATCGTGTGGTTGCTGTTATAGTTTTAGTTCATTGGTTTCTAAATCCCACGGAGAGTTCAGACTGGTTATTATACAATGTATCTCAACATAGAGTAAAATTAAAGTATACAAATTTCTTAACAAGATACTAAGTTTGCCCAATATCTTTGTCTAATACCCGAAATCAGTTGAGGTCGAATGAGTCCAGGATGGGTGATACGAAGGATAGCGGAATAACAAGACTAAAAACTTTTCTCTTACTCAAATATGCCACATATGCCAACAAATGATGATGGGGCAATTTTGATGAAGTGCTCTCTCAGTATGAACGCTTCGGCGTCAGCAGCTTGTACTGATTCATTGAAATCCTCCACTGTTGTAGCAATTTGATTTTGACTCAGTGTTGGAGGGAGGTTTAAATTCCATTGTTTGTAGAGAAAGCGATGTGACCAAAAACTGATACGCAAATCAATAATTTTGCTTTCTGATTTCCGGCTCGCCGCCATCTTGAATAATTGTTTTTTGTGATCATGATATGTCTCTGCTTTATTCGAAAACATGACGTTGATTCTTGACAATGTCCGACAATCCATAGCTAACTTCTCATACATTTACACTTTGTCTCTTCTTCAAGAAAAAAGAAAAATAGAAAAGAAAGGGAAAAAAGAAGAAATAAGGAAAGAAAAAGAGAAATGGAATTACTTTATTGATTTTTTTTTTCTGTCAAGTCGATGTCAACTTGATGTCTTCACTTAAAACCATTTCTTTTCGTAAACGCACTCAGTCGTTCACTCAACAAAGTTACGTCATAATCGTGCAGTTACGTCGTTAATGAGGTGCTGGATGCCGCCTGTAGATCCTAAATACATCGTGTTGACATCACCTATGTAATCCGCCTCAACGTTGTGTACGTGCAGACTTTCGGGATAAGATTACCAAACATTAAAGGAAAAATATTGAAGAGAAGGATTTAAGAAGTGTTACCGTAAATCCTCTATTAACCACCCTCTCAAATAAGCCCTCTCCCCCCTCTTTTCGGGGGAAGAAAGTTAATAAGCTCCCCTTCCCTGCCCTAATTATTCTTCACTAATAAATGATAGACTGTATTAATCAATCACGACTGTAAAACTTCGTTTGAACTGATCAGGGATGGTTTATTCACTAACTGGAATTTGATCCTCGGCTGCATGACCTCCAACTTCTTGTACCCGAGCTTTTCCACTTTGTTGGCTAGTTCTTTATGGAGAACTGATACCATCGTCTTTTCTAAATTAAATACGCCCTCTCTCAAATAAGCCCCCCTCAATGGGCTTTGAAATAAATAAGCCCCTGGGGGTCTTAATAGGGGATTTACGTTATACAGGGAAGCTGCACTCCGATCGAGGTCCACTATACTAACCCCTTACACTTGTTTATATTATTATTGTCAGAAAGCAAAAAAGGATAAAGGGGCTATCCTCTCTTGCAGAAAGGAACCCCTTTCGTAGACTCTCTAATGACAAATTATTTCTCTTCTTGATACGGTAGCGTTGTATACCATAAACTTCCGCTTATAAAGCCCTGGGCTTATACAACTTCGTAAGGGGCTTTAGGAAAACTTATAAATGGAGGAGGATGATATAATCGGACTCAGTAACAAATCGTTTCAAAATGGGCTAGATAGCAGTGCTGATCAAAATGCTTGTTGATTTTTTTCACTTTTTAAGCTTCATAACGTCGTAAAGAAGTCGAACTCATTTCAATACAAGCTAGAGGGGGGCTAACACCGGATAGTGTTTTTTGTTTAAAGCCGGAGATGGGGGCCGGGCCGCCGGGGGAGCGGGGGGGGGGGGGGGCTGTAAACGGATGTGTTTTAATTGTTTGTAGATACGTAGATGGGCTTATAACGAGGGGCGGGTGGTTTTTAAGTGGGGGGAGGGGGGCTTATAAGCGGAAGTTTACCGCAGTCGAGTGTCATTATCAGATGTCGTGCCAGAAGTATCACCCAAAAATTTAAGTGATTGTCAGTACTGTTATTACCTGTTCTATTCACTGTATCCTTGAAGATATATATCATGCCAGGATTTTGAAGAAAGGAATTCGAGGTAATGTTATGATTTATTTTTGTAAGATCGCCACTTTGCTGAATGCTATTGAGATGTAGCCACTGTGATTTGATCTCGCTCGACTTCCTTTAGATTCAGTGGATTGCCTATACTATCGGTGAGGTCAATCGAGTTCTGCTTCCAAAACAAGCAAAAATCAAAGGACGTTTTATTTTTTGGAACTGGAAAGCCCTTTCTTTCATAGAACCGCAGTAAATGGGTTTCTAAGTTGGTGGAGCGGAGGTTGTTCGCTTACTCAACCAACCGTGGAATTATTTTAACCATTGAAGATGGACTTTCGATCTGCCTGCTCCAGCACTTTGCCGATTTTTTCTACGTGACGAATAAGTCTTGCTGCCTTCTTTCAATTCCTTTCCCTTCTTTATTAATTTTGAAGA